TCTCACAATCGATCAAGCCTCTTGTGATCATCAAGATCAAGATCACTAATTATGTCGTATTCCGCATCAAGTAAGTATTTCGTATACACCAAATTATTTATTCAAGATCCTTAATGAGGTTTACATGTCATTCAAGCCTCCATTCAACGATTCATTAACATGTGTACAAATACAATATTCCATCAATAAATAATATCAAGCTTAAACCTATACAAGAATACTCCACATTGTTCCAATAAATTAAGTATTTTTTTTTACGGCATGTTTACTACAATAATATTAAAAAAAACAAACAAACAAAACAAAACATTGGAAGCTTTGTCCTGTTTGGTTCTTTGCACATTATGTTTTTCTATCACTACTAATTTAGTTTCAGTCGAAGGATTAGGACATGCCTTGTCAAGCGGTTACCGGCCGATCAGTGACTCGGAAGACAAAGAGGTGCTGAGGTGTGCAAAGTTTGCTGGCAGAACACACATGCGGGCCTGCACAAACCTATTTTTCTGGGGGTCTTGAGTGCGCAAATGCAAGTACTCGACGAACATCAACTATAAGCTTGTAATTGCTGCCGAGGAAGGTCGTGTGCCGCCCATCCCAGTTATTACCTTGCGGTTGTCCGGGCAAAACTGCTGCCAAGACAGAGACATCAAGTGTGGTCCCTACAGCTCAAGTCCTTTGTGAAACTCCAACTCTCCAAGATTAACTCTTTGGACCGCTATTATATGGCTAGCAACCGTGTATTACCAATTCATCTATAGTTTACCTTTTGTAATGAATATGAAAGTTTAATACATCGGTTCAAATCATGCCAACCGGTGTAGTAGCTCACAGCTTCGATCAACAATGCTCGGCAGCTTCTTAGTTTAGCTTTGAAATCTTCAAACAAATTGAATTATATATAAAGGCACACAATTTATTTCATTACTTTTGCTTCATACACATAAGTCAGATAGCAAAACGATTTCAAATCCACTATATATGTGTGTGAATTTCACCTCACAAATAATTATAACAATGTTAAGGAACAAGAAGTTACCACTGAACTAAAAACTCATAAATCTTATACATAATTTCAAACTCCGTAATCGAAAGGTGTCCCCGATCATGTTTTAAATAGAAGATCAAAACAGAAGAAAACAAAACAGATTAAATGGTTCAAGAACGGCAGTCCCCTACAAGGTAAGACAATCTGCATTTAGGGTCGCATCCGTTGGAAATGGCTCCAGCTAAAGTCGATCGCCCAGCAAAAAAGGCTGACCACAAGGCCAAGGCCTTGAAGGCTGCCAAAGCCGTGAAAGCAGGTTCAACAACCTTCAAGCAGAAGTCCAAGAAAATAAGGAGAGGACCTTGAAGAAGGAGAGGAATCCTAGGTACCCACGCATCAGTGCCCCTCGCCGCCAGAAGCTCGACCAGTACCAGATTCTGAAATACCCTCTGACCACAGAATCGGTCATGAAAAAAAAAATCGAAGATAACAACACTCTGGTTTTCATTGTCGACATCCAAGCTGATAAGAAGTAGATCAAAGGTGCTGTTAAGAATATGTATGAAGTCCAGACCAAGAAAATTAACACCCTTATCAGGCCTGATGGGACTAAGAAGGCGTATGTTAGGTTGACACGGACACCCAACTATGATGCTTTAGACATCGCCAACAAAATTGGAATTATCTAAGTGATTGGAGCCCTCAGTTTTTTGTGTTTTATGTTTTTCTCTTTTCCAGTGGATTTGAACTAGACAACTTTGATTATGGTACTCGAATGTCGTCTGAACAACTTTTTGTTGAATTTAGACATTGAAGCTTCAGATTGTGTTTTTTATTTTTTATTTTTTTTTTAAAAAAAAAGGTTGTTCCCCAAGCCTTGAAAATGATCCTCCATGAAACGAAATGAGAAAAAAAAAAATAAATAAATAAAAAAATCCTGAGTTTACCCCTATCGCCGAGGATAATGACCGTGAGAAGAATTCCACGCGACGGCATCGATCTCAACTGGAAACTCAGATTCTCAAACTGTAAATAGAGAAAGCAAATGAAACCATAACAAATGAAAAATTAGACTTAAATCTCAACCTTCATCAAGACCACTCAAATTTAACAGCAAATAACAGTCGTACACAGCAATCAAAGAAAACTTGTTACAAGTAGGCTAAATTAGTTTTTTGGTCCCATGAGGGACCCCTATTTTGATTTTAGTATCGAAAAATTTGACTTTTTGAAAATCGTCCTGTAAGTGAAAAAAAATTAATTTTTTTTTATCCCATGACCGGATTGGCTACGTAACCATGCACCTCTTGTGCAAAACAAGCCACATATCCCACTTGAGCTACTAGACACCATGCAATTAATGTGACCTAAAATATATATGTATCTGCAGTTTAACATCATTTTATTAGAAAACAAATAATTCGTTAAATAATATATTTAAATATGCATATATATTTAAATAAATATATATATTTTAAAGAAATAAATATAGTTAAATAAATAATAAATTAAATAATATATATAAGATATGATATATTTAAATATATATCAAATAATAAAATATATATAATTTATTGATATAAATAAATATATTTAATAATATATTGTTATTTTTTATTTATTTCATTTGCTTATTTTTATTTCGTAATTAATTCACATTTAATAAATAATTATGTATAAATTTTATAATTAAAAGTGGTATTATCTAATATATTTATAATTTTTACTTATTTAGTAATTTTTTAATATTATTTAATATATTTTTATTTAATATTATTATATTTAATACATATAATATTTTGTTGTTTAATATATTTATTTATTTAATATACAAAAAATAATTAAAATTAAATAAAGTCGATCAGTATAAAAAATAAAATAAATGATAATAAAAGTTAAATCAAACAAGGTAATTTGATTATTATAATTAAATAAAGAAATATATTAAATATATATAATATAATTACATAAACAAATTTATAAAAATATACATTTTAAATATTAAATAATATATATTAACTTATTTATTTCATTTGTTGATTTTTATTTCGTAATTAATTTACATTTAATAAACAAATCATGTATAAATTTTACAATTAAAAGTGGCATTATCTAATATAATTATAATTTTTACTTATTTAGTAATTATTTTATATTTAATATATTTATTTAATTATTTAATATTGTTATATTTAATGCATATGATATTTTATTATTTAATATACAAAAAAATTTAATTAAAATTAAATATAGTCGATCAGTATAAAAAAATAAAATAAATGATAATAAAAGTTAAATCAAACAAGGTAATTTGATTATTATAAATAAATAAATAAATAGATTCAATATATATAATATATTTACATAAATAAATTTATAAAAAAATATATATTTTAATATTAAATAATATAATATTATTTTATTTATTTGATTTGTTGATTTTTAATTTGTAATTAATTCACATTTATTAAATAAATTATGTATAAATTTTATAATTAAAAGTGGTATTATCTAATATTTCATAAGTTTTATAATTAAAAGGTGAGAATCGAGTTGTTGTTATTATTATTATTATTATTATTACAATTGAAATGGCGTTGAATATATATATATATATATGAACCCACATTTTTTGCATACAATCTCATAGATCAAGTGATTGAAGGTGTTTCTTTTGCATAAGAGGTGCATGGTTCAAATCCCCCTATGACCATATTTTTGCATTTATGCCACATAATAGGTCACCTAAGCTTACAACTAAGCAAAAAAAAAAAGGAGAATTTCTATGTAGGCAATCCTAATAGGCCACCTAAGCTTACAACTCAGCAAAAAAAAAAAAAAAAAAAAAATTAGGAGAATTTCCATGTAGGCAATCCGGTAGCAGTGACCTGCTGTAGGCGGTCATGGGATGAAAAAACTAATTTTTTTCACTTACAGGACGATTTCCAAAAAGTCAAATTTTTCGATACTAAAACCAAAATAGGGGTCACTTATGGGACCAAAAATCTAATTTAACCTTACAAGTAGCGTTTGTTTACTAATGAATCAGTAACAATGGAAGTCCTCTTCAAGCCGAGGGGCACGGTCACGAGGGACGCTTCAATAAGAGCTTAGAAATTGACAAGCACTGATTCGCTTGCCCCACTTTCCCATGCAAAATTTGTGGGGTCTAGCCACATGAAAGTCCAACCAAACCTTGAAAAACAACAAACAAATTGTTGTAAGATTCCAACAACTAAAGTAGATTAGGAATTTTTTATTAAAAATGAATTGTTATGTCTCACAATGTGAATTATCATTTGGAGCTTTATTTTTATAAATAGGGAGCAACAGGCAGAGCTGAAATCGCACCAAAGGAAGAAAGAAAAAGAGTGAAAAAAAATAAGGAGCAGAAACAACATTTAGTTTCTGGAGTGTTATTTTTCAGTTAGATAAAAATAGAGTGTTTGAGTAAATCCTGTGAGTGTGGGAAAAATACACCTGGTTAGGTATCATCTCTATTACTCCTTGTTTTGGAGTGGGGTTTCACTGGGTTACTATATTTTAAATTTCTAGTGTAAGGGAGTGTGAAAAGATATTGTAATTATCTTGAACGTATAGTGGAATTGTTCGGAGAATGTCCCGTGGTTTTTTCCTCTAATAAGAGGTTTTTCCACGTTAAAACTTGGTGTCTTATTTCTTGCATATTTTATTTATTTGGGATATTCTTAGTATGCTATGTGATCGCAGTTTTATCTGATCTTCCACATCAGAAAAGAATTATTCATGTTTTATTGCAAGAGATTTGTTTTGTCATTCTTGAGTTACTGGGATTGGGATTATTGTTCACCATTTTAACTTGATATTTTAATTTACATATTTGCGCATCTCAACCCAACAAGTGGTATCAGAGATCAATTTGGGCTCTGTATCGATCAGTGTAAATTAAATGGAGGAGATAGTGGGTACCATGGTAAAGCTGACAGCAACAAAATACTCCATTTGGAAGCCAATAATGGAGGACATACTTTTCTACAAAGATCTGTACGATCCTGTAGAAAAGGGAGACAACAAACCAGATGATGTGAAGGATGAAGATTGGAAAAAGTTACACAGATAGGCTGTCAGTTTAATCAGACAGTGGGTGGATATCAGCATATTCCACCATGTTGCCACAGATTCGAAAGCCCATACTATGTGGAACAAAATTGAACAGATGTACCAGAGGAAGACTGCACAGAACAAAGATTTCGTCATTAGAAAGCTTGTAAATCTAAAATACCGGGATGGAAGATTAGTTGCAGAACACTTGAAGGAGTTTCAAGACATGGTGAACCAACTTGTTACCATGGAAATAAAACTTGATGAAGAGCTGCAGGCGCTGTTACTTTTAAGTTCTTTACCGGATAACTGGAAGACTTTGGTGGTCTTGTTGAGCAACTCTGCTCCTGAAAGAAAACAGACTTTGACCCAAGTCAAAGACAGTATGTTTAATGAAGAAACAAGAAGAAAAGACTCTGGAGCAAGTAGCTCTCAGGCCCTGGTCACAGAAACTAAGGGGAGAAGCAAAAGCAGAGGCCGGAATAACAAATCCAGAGATAAATCACAATCTCAACCCAGAAGAAAATTCAAGTGTTATCACTGCGGTGAAGAAGGTCATATCAAAATAAACTGCAAAGCTTGGAAGAACAAAGGTTGGAGGAATAACAAATCAGAGAACGATGAAAATACCGCAACCGCTGTGATCAATGGGGAAGTGGTGTTGCTCTCTGTTGAAGAAGAAGAGTGTCATGTTGCTGATTCATGTGTTGATTGGGTCATTGACTCAGCAACATCATACCATGCAACCTCTCACAAGGAATTCTTTTCTCTATACAAAGAAGAAGACTTTGGTAGAGTAAAGATGGGCAACAACAGCATTGCAATTATTGTGGGAGTTGGTGATGTGTGCATTCAAACTGATATTGGGTGCACAATAACACTGAAGGACGTACGACGTATGCCAGACTTACGTCTGAATCTGATCTCTGTGCATGCATTGGATCTAGCAGGCTATACTAACAATTTTGGTAGCGGCACGTGGAGGCTTACCAAAGGATCATTGTTAGCTGTTAAAGGTAGAGTGAGATCGACACTATACAGAACTCAAGTGAAACTAATCAAGGGTGGATTAAATGCAGTCGAAGATGATGCTTCACCAAATTTGTGGCACAAAAGACTGGCTCACATTTGTGAAAAATGATTACAAATTTTGACAAAAAAGTCCCTCATCCCATTTGCCAAAGATTCAAAACTGAATCCTTGTGATTATTGTCTCTTTGGGAAGCATCAAAGAGTGTCTTTCAGCAAAACCTGTAAGCTGAAAGAAAATGTGTTGGAGATGGTGTATTCTGATGTATGTGGACCCATGGAAGTGGAGAGTCTCGGTGGTAGCAGATATTTCGTTACGTTTATTGATGATGCTTCACAAAAATTGTGGGTGTATTTTTTGGTAACGAAGGGCGAAGTTTTTCAATACTTCAAAAGGTTCCATGCTATGGTGGAGAGACAAGCTGGT